TATACAATTGTGATGTTCTTGTTGGGGTGTGAAGAATTGTACTGTATTTACACAACAGTATACATGTATATTACAGTGGGTTTTTTTCCCATTCGCTTGGTACAGTTTCCACATTTTCAAAACTCTTAGTACAATAATATCTGACCATACATTATGAAAAGGCAGTAACTGTGAATGAAACTTTTAGAAAAAAATTCATGGAAATAATACTTTGTGCTTTTTTGTACTAACACAACAAAAAATATGCTGAAATGTTTGAAAATAAAAGTATGTTTTTGATGATTTGTTGTGAGATTAGTACTAAGAGTTTTGAAAATGTACAATTTGCTTGTGAAAATTGTATCAGAACAACAACAAAAAAAACGATCTAGAGACAGACATATTGCTTTCTGCAAAAGATGATTCACTTAAGATTAAAAATCCATGTTACAAAAAGGAAATTTTTTTACATGCTGTTAGCTTATTTTAGCATAATAGATCAGTCTTTATAGTAGATACTGTGTGAAATGTGTCAAATTTCTAAACTTAAAAGGGTCATATGATGCGATTTCAATTTTTCCTTTCTCTTTGGAGTGTTACAAGCTCTTGGTGCATAAAGAAGATCTGTAAAGTTGCAAAGACTAAAGTCTCAAATCCAAAGAGATATTCTTTATAAAAGTTAAGAGCCAGCCACACCTACCTAAAACGGCTCGTTCTAACACACCCCACATGTATGTGGAAAATAATGTGTTTTTTTAACTTTAAACCGCATAAACACATTTCATTACACCAAATACACAAAATAATGTTCTTTTTAGCAGCATCATATGACCCCTTTAAATTGCAGATGAGATTTGAGAATATAAACATTATTGTTCATAATGTAATGTGCTTTGAACATTAGGTTTAAGTACAGTAAGTGTCCCTATGCAGAATCTTTTTTCTTTATAATGATTCCTCGCTAGATGCTTTAAAACAATACATTACTATTATTTTATTATATACTCGTCTGTAAAGCAGAATGTTCAATATTTCAACAGTGAATGCAACTCCGGATGGCGATTCAGCTAATGCATGTCTCATTGAGCCTGAAAATGGGAAAGAAGTGATAGATGACGAAACAGACCCGTAAAAAGGTAAAGATGGAGGCAAAATGACGAATTTGATGAAAATTATCTTTATGATAATTAGACCAATGGATGCTCCTCGAGAGTGTATTTTTTTTTACTATTACACTATAACTATACTGAGTGGGATTTAGCAGTGATCAGACAACTAGTCAGGCTTTTAATGAGAAACTTTGTCAGTTTATTAGTTTAGATCCTGTCTGGTGTAAAATCTCCACTGAACCACTGATCATCTGTGATCGTTTCTGATGTGATCATAATTAGTATCCTAGAAATTACTTATTTGGAAATGATTTAGCGCATGTAATAGTAATATTAAGCAGCATTTGATGTATAGTCCTGAAAATGTGTGAGCAATGTATTGATTTCTGTGGTTTCACATTTCAAATTCATCGGACCCATATGGAAAACACTGAATTTTGACCATTGAGGTTATGGCAGTGTAAATCTGTAATTGATGATGATGCAAAAATAGGCTGCAATGCAGCATTGACACAACTTTTTACAATCTTATCGCAGTTGACACAGTGTTATTTAAACACTAAACAGGTACAAAGGAAATATGTACAATATTCAGTGTAGGTGATTCAATTATAAACTAAATTTGTGTAATAAATATCTATGAGGCAATACTTACAATGCAAGTTTATGATCTTAAGTAAGTTTACTTTGAGCATGTAAATGTAATACTTACCCATGAATAATACGTAAATGTGATGCTAAAATACAAAATGTTTCTGTTGTTCTGTTTTATTCAACTCAAATGAAGTTCTATTTCTATTCTCGCCAGACGGTGGCGCTATGTACTTATTATTTTATTGGTAAACTCTTGATCCAGTGAATCTGGGCTCTAGTCATAGAAGACTCCTTGCTTGCTGTTTGTATGTACAATGAAGCAATTGCTTATAGAGGTCTGAAATTTCTGAACATAATGTAAAAATATATATATTTTTTAAACAGATTGTTATTGAAACTAATATCTTCTGTAGTCCATTTTTTTAAATAAACCATCAAATATATGTCTTTTAGCATCTGAAAATTGTTACAAATATGGTACATAACAAACTTTATTAATAGATTTTTAAGCCCCACCTGCACATGTGTCAGGAAACACACTTATTAAGTATTTTGGTTTTATTTTTGTATGTTGTTGGATGTATGGAACTGATGATAAAACAGAAGAATAAACTAGACTTACTGTACCTGTGATGAATGTCTGATGGTGTGCTGAGTGGTTTCTAGATGGTAACTTGCTGCTGCAAATCAAAGGTGTCTGTGATACTTTGGTCTCTATATGGCTTTGTTCCTGCTACATTATTTTTCTATTTTTAAACTTTTTTTTATCTCTCAAGTACAAGCAATAGTATGATGCCTGTAATTGTAATTGTACCCCTAATTGTAATATGTCATTACATAATATTTTACATTGTTGCTCATGAAATTAATTGTCTGGTGTATGGCGTTGTAACGCCCCTGTGGACTGTTTATTGTGGTTTCTTCCCCTTTTGTTGGTTTAGCCCGTTCAATCATTAGTTAATTATCCTCATTGTGCTCACCTGTCTGCCCCTCGTTATCTGCCCTATAAGTTCCTGTCTCTTGTATTTTAGTATGGTCGGTTATTGTGAATGTTACCCTGAGTGTGTGTGTCTCATCTACCCGTATCTGCCTTGTTGTCTCTACATTAAACATCCTTATTTGAATCCTTGTCGTCCTCGTCATCCTGCCTGCCTCCACACACCTTGACCGTGACAACCGTATTGTCCCGAATATAAGACAATGTTTTTTTCTTGGAAATACATCTGAAAAAACG